CACATACACACACACATACACACGCACGCACGCGCGCGCACACGCACATACACACATGCACACACACACACGCACACACCCACATACACACTCACACCCACACCCACATACACACTCACACACACTCACGCACGCACGCATGCACGCGCACACACAATACACACTCGCGCGCGCGCACACGCATGCACACACACACATACACACACGCACGCGCACACACACGCACACAGGCACACACATGCACGCACACACATCCACACGCACGCACGCGCGCGCACATACGCACATACACACACGCACACACATCCACATATACACACTCACACATGCACACACAATCACACACATGCACATACACACACGCACACACACGCACACACGCACGCACGCACACACACACACACACATGCACACACACACAAGGTGGGGTGGGAATGGACAAATCCCTTCTCCGAATTTGAAGGCATGCTCTAAAAGTTATGGTGACTGATAAGTGGACATTGAGAAACACTCTGGCCTGGAATCAAGTCGATGATGTCACACAACTACTGTCAAGAGCGCCTGGGCAGGATCACGTGAAAGATTAACGGGCTGGGGCCGCTCCACAGATTCCTTTATAGAGTTGTTGCATAGGTTTGTAATTCATAAAGGGAATTAATTATTGAGAGCAGACAGCCATCTCAACAATGCAGGTGCCCAGGATCAGATAGTGTCTCCAATGGGACAATATAATTAATTCATTAATAGAACTCTGTGGAAGGCAAGTCTCTCTGTCTTATTACTTTGTCACTTTAGAGTGAAAGGAAAATCATTGCACTAAACACACACACACACACAAACACACACACACACACACACACACACACACACACACACACACACACACACTGGATTGTGGGGAAGAACAGCCGGCTAATTCAATGTTTCGTACATGCTGTTAATCCACTCTCAGGGAGTCACTCCTCATTCATTTTCTAGGGTCCAAGCCCATAGAGGTAACGAGATAGCAATCAGACTTAACATATGCACCAGCAAAGTAGGCTGAGCTGTTACAGGAATAAGATCATTCAAACCATTGATTGCAATAGAACTGTTGAGCAAATGCCCAGAGGCCCTGGCCCACCGAATGCTCACATGAGCTTGAAAGCATCGTTAGGTCAAATAGAACGGACGAGCCATTTTCCTGGGACTTTGTTATACCCAATGTGAAGAGGTATCAACTCAAAGTCCTCCTGACCATCTCTGGGTGAGGCACAGCATCAGTGCACATGAAGTCATGGGGTTGACAGAGACTATTGAACATACTGTCGACTCTTAAAAGAAGTACTTCCAGAATATTCCTTAGAAGCAAGATGGCAAGAATTCGCCTGGTGTACTTCAGACCTGTTATCAGGAGAGACCAGCCGCTGCAAAAAGACACCATGCTTGGTAAAATAAAAGGTCAGCAACAAAGAGCAAGTTTCTCTCAAGGGGACAGATTGACAGGTGGCTGTAACAATGGGCTCAAACAGAACAGTGATGGTAAGGATGATGGTATTTCGTTCTGTTGTACATAAGGCAGCCATGAGTCAGAATGAACTCAAGGGACCCAACGGCCTAACAACAAAAGTAACAACATTGATTTAATATTGGTCTTTTGGAATTGTGAAAACGTGTTGCCTCTTGAAAAGGTTGGTAAAAGCCCCTTTAAGAGCTACCAATTCATCCCTCAACCTAACTGACATCTTATGAGTTTTTCCCCACTCTAGGTTTCTGGATTTGGGCCCTATCTGTCCCATTACTTGTGGTCAATGCAACATCTCCTCCTATACCTCCTTCACCTTGTGGACCTCCAGGACCCCCAGGGCCCCCAGGACCCCCAGGACCTCCAGGACTTCCCGGTCCACCAGGTACAAAAATCCTTTCTGTCTCTCCCTCAAATAGCCTTTCATAATTCCTCACTGATTAAAATGTTCATAGATTCAGTAAACTCCTCCCAGTGACCTGATGGAAATATTCATCACGGAGAAAGTGATAAGGACCACTGGTTCTTATTCTTGGCTTTGAAGCGTCATTAGATTCATTGATTGTAACCACTTCTGGCTCCCAAGAAGTCTGAACATGAAAGATAGCTAGTTCTTTAGACACAGTTGGAATACAGTCCACATTGAGACTTAGAAGTCCAGCTCTGGTCACGTTATAGACATGGGGCATAGAGTGCTCACAATGAGAGTGCCCTATGTGGGAGTGCCCTGAGGGGAGGATCCGCTATTGATGCTCCAGGCATAGAGGTCAGCAGATACATCAGATTCCTCTTCCCTGGTTATCCTGCCGAGAGAGGTGTTGGACTAAGTGCAGACGAAGAGCCTAGCAGCTCAGAGCCCCGTGCTGAACTACCAAGGCAGTGCTTGCCCAAGGACAGGTTAAATATGCAGGCTCCTAGAATCCATGCAGAGATTCGGCTTCGAACCGGCTCCGGTGCATTCTGGCCCTGGGTCACTTGGCAGTGAGGCAAGAGCTGAGAGCGGAACTGGGTGGTGGGGAGGTCCACCCCTGGTTGTAGTAAGCAAGCAAGGTGGGGTACCACTGCTCAAAGTTTCTATTAAGTTCTGCCATGAATTTCTCTGGATCATTCTCTCCCAATAAACCCGCGGCTATCAAGTTAATTCTGACTCAGCCCCCCTGTAGGACAGAACACAAATGGGCCCCCTTTGGTTTCCTCAGCTGCAAAGTGTTTCGGACGCAGACGGCCACCACCTTCTCCGTGGAGTATCTGGTAGTTCAATGACTTTTGGGTCAGTAGCAGAGGGCTTTACCTAATGTGTCACCAGGAGCCCTTTCCCGCCCTATCACGGTCTTTAGTTCGCAGCCTTATAGGGAAGAAAAGATGTGACCGTGCGTGTCTGAAGAGCAATTCACCAGTTTGTTCATCTAAGTACGCATGCGCCAAACACACATCGCTTGCTGATTCTATCTTGATTAGCTGATCATGGATACTGAGCATGACATTTAGAAACAAAAACGGAGTTAACACTTAGCTCCTGGACTAGACAAGGAGACAGTCACTTACAGGAAGGATTACAATTCTTAGTGGTACTACTCTCCAGTTACGGTCAAAGTTACTCACCAGCTATGGTCTTCCATGGCCGAGAGATAGCAGCAGGGATGCTTCGGCTGACCTCTGAAGAGTGAAGGGAAGGTAGCTGGATGGGACAACAGGGGCAAGGAGGAAGGAGAAATCCATGGATTGTGAAAAGCAAATCTACAAACGATCTGATTCTCCTTTTTGTTTCTTTAGGATTACGAGGTCTTTCAGGGCCAACTGGACCCATTGGGCCACCTGGACAGGTGGTCAAGTGCCCACAATCCGCCTTTTATGTGAAACAGAGTGGACCCTTCCCCAAGTCCTCGAAGCCCATTGTCTTCCAAGAGGCTCTGTATAACCATCCGGGCCACTTTGACCCGGCCACTGGAGTGTTCACCTGCACCATCCGTGGTGTATACAAGTTTGGCTTTGATATTGCACTGTCTGAGAATGCGGTCAAGGTGAGCCTGATCAGGAACAGCAAGCAGGTGAGGGACAAACGTGCAGAGGCCAAGAACAGCGAGGAGCAACTCTCAGGAAGTTTCATCTTGCAGCTGGAGGAAGGGGACAAGGTCTGGCTGGAGTCCAAGCTGGACAAAGGGCAATCTCCACAAGGGACTACTCAAACTATGTTCTATGGGTTTCTCATCAGCAGTAATCCAAGCCTGGAATAACAGTGTGCTTTTCTTCCTTAAGTCGCTCTGAATTTAAGAGGCAGTGTGAATGGTAGGGGCAGGGATGGGTGGGGGCGGGAAGCTTTTCATCTCAAATATTTCCATGAGCACCGCTGGATAATGCATACTTTGCAACCTTGAGAATAACCTAGTTGATAGAACACTGATCACTGACACCAATAAAGACAATGAAATCAATTTACTGACTATTCCTTATTTGTAAATCAACAACGCAAGAATGTTTCTAGAATCCGGCTTGCAAAATTGTGTAGGAGGTGGAAAATAAATAAATGGATAAAGCTAGGTAGGCTGCTGCCCAATCAGTTTTCTGTTAAGGGCTCAGGAAAACCTCCATTCTAGTTTACTGTTAAGTATTCTGGGTTTTTTTTTCTCCAAGAGACAAAAATGTTGCTTAAACCTACTATTGAAACTAAGCACATAGATATGGAAATAAAGAGTGTTGGGAGAGATAGGAGATTTGCTTCAAGTCAGACCAAATGAGAATACATTACATCAGATGATTTCCCCACAGCCTAATTGGATGGGAGATGTTAGCAGAAATCCAATCCAACCTAACCCAGCCTCTTGTGACTGAGTTAAATCCAACTCAGTCCGCCCTTTAGGACAGAGTAGAACTGCCCCATCAAGTATCCAAGGGGGATGATCTTTACAGAAACAGATGCGGTATCTTTATCCCATAAAGTGGTTGGTGGGTTTGAACCAACTGACTTGTGGCTAACAGCTAACTATTGCACCACAATGGCTGCTGTAGGGAGGACCAGAGGGCTTGAAATAGAGGTGAGGAATGTTTGAAGTTTAATAAGCTTCTATCAGGGATGACCCATCCCTGGAACAGGATATCATGTTTGGTAAAATAAAGGGACAGCAAAAGAGAAGAAGATTCTCAACACATGGAAGAAGCACACCAGCCTGTGTGACCACGAGGTGTCGAGGGGATCAGGTGTCAGGCATCAAAGAACAAAAAATCATATCATTGTAAATGAGAGTGAGTGCAGAGTGGAGACCCAAAGCCCATCTGTAGGCAACTGGACACCCCCTTACTGAGGGGTTGTGGGGGGGAGATGAGCCAGTCAGAGTGCAGGGTAGCAACAATGAAACCTACAACTTTCGTCTAGTTCTTAAATGCTTCCTCCCCCCACTATCATGATCCCAATTCTACCTTACAAATCTGGCTAGACCAGAGGATGTACTTGGTACAGATAGGAACTGGAAACACAGGGAATCCAGGACAGATGACCCCTTCAGGACCACTGGTGAGAGTGGCAATACAGGGAGGTCGGAAGAAAGGTGAGGGAGAAAGGGGGTGCAGACTACAAGGATCTACATATAACCTCCTCCGTGGGGGATGGACAACAGAAAAGTGGATGAAGGGAGATGTCGGACAGTGTAAGATATGACAAAATAATAATAATTTATAAATTATTAAGGCTTCATGAGGGAGGGGGAGCAGTGAGGGAGGGAGAAAATAAGCTGATACCAAGGGCTCAAGTAGAAAGCAAATGTTTTGAGAGTGATGATGGCAACAAACGTACAAATGTGCTTGACACGATGGATGGATATATGGATTGTGATAAGAATTGTACAAGCCCCCAATAAAATGATTAAAAAGTCTATTCGCAACAATATGGCTTGTTGAACAGTGTGGCAGTTGAATTTTATATCAACTTGCCCCTGTGTGAAAAGGTAAGGGTGGAATCCAACCTATCAATCAGGTGACAGCCTGATGATCCTTCCTTGGATGGGGGGTGGGGGGTGGGAGTTAACAGCTATGAACATTTATGCCCCCCCCTTTCTTTTCATTTTCAACAGCTTTCTTGGCATATAATTCTATGTACACATTTTTGCGTGAATATAGTTTTCCTTGCTTTAGGATAAGTTGGGTCCTGTGGCAAGCATGTGTTTCTCTTTATAGGATTCTGATGTTTATTCTCAACAGAAGTCCTTTGCTAGATTTGAACTTGCAAACATTTTCTTCCCCCTCTATCCAACAGCTGCTCACCCCCCACATAGTATTTTTCACAGGGCAGATGTTTTAAGTCTGATAAAGCCATCTACAGCTACATATAGGTGTACGTGCATGTATATGTAAATGTACATGTATGCATACGCACATACATGTGTGATGTTAGTGCTGATAGGTGCCATGGAGTTGGTTCCGACTCATAGTGACCCTCTGTACAGCCTGGCCCTGGGTCATCCTCTCAAGCATTAGTTTGCGTCTGTTGTGGCAGCCACTCTATCCTATACACTCATGCTTTGGGTGTCATGTGAAAAATCCCAGAGCACAAAGACTTTCTCATATGGCTCCTTCGAAAAGTTGTGCAATTTGAGAATATTCATTTTAGATCTGTAGTCGTTTTATTGCTGCTCTAAGAAATTATCACAACTGTAGCAGCTTAAAAGATCACAAGTCTGTTACTCCATAGTTCATCGTAATTGGCGAAGCTCATGGTGATTAACTGGAAGGTTGGTAGTTTATACTCCCCAAAGTGCCCCCCACTCCCACCCCTTCCCAGCAGCTCTGCAGAAGAAGACCTGGAGGTCTTTTCCTTTAAAGGTGTAGTCAAGAACACCCGGTAGGACAGTTCTCCTCTAGCCCATGGAGCGCCCATGACTCAACATCAACTTGATGGCCCCTCATCTAAGTCTAAAGTCCTGGTTGGTGTAACTGGGTCTTTTGCTCGGATTGCACAACGCTGAAATCAAGGTGCCAGCTGCTGGGCTCTGACCAGGCAGCTCTGGGAAGTATCCACTATTAGCACATTCATGCTCTGGAATGGCCACTTCAGCTAAGCAGGCACCCTGCTGCTTAGGTACGACTTGGGCCAACCTACCTATCCCACTGTGGCCAGGGCACCACACAGAGCAACCAGGGGCAATACAAACACTCCCTGCTTCTTCCCTTTATCAGCTGGGTCCTGATAATGACTTTCAGGTAGGCTAGCCTGATGAAGTGAAGGATTTCAGTGGCCCATCCTATTCAAGCTATAAAAAGATGTTATGCAAGGACTTCCTGAAGGGAAACATCCCTGACCAGTCAGGTGCTGCTGGAAGCAGTACTGTGTGCCCCAGCCCGTGTGCCCCAGACAAATAAAGCAATGCCTCTCAGATTTGTTCTTGGTCAATTTTTTCACTTAGACCCTATAACGTTACACTTGGAACATTTCAGCCCAGAAACCACTTGAAAGGTTAGAAATTTGTGGGAAATTCCTCATTTATTTTCATGACATTAAAAGGTAGCTAGTGCTGACTATAAAACTGGCATGGTATGATGAGATCTAAAAGGCATGAAGATTTCAAATAGATAACAAGAATATCATCCCAAAAAAAGTGGGGGGCGGGGCAGGGAAGTTATGAGAACGCGATGCTTTAAAAGTTTGGTGTTGTTTTGTTTGGTCTTTCCCCCACTTCAGTGTAGTTTATTAATTATAAATATACTGTGAAAGTTGAAGAAGTAGGAGCTGATCCCAAGGTCTCAAGTAGAAAGCAAATGTTTTGAAAATGATGATCGCAACAAATTACCAAATGTGTTTGACACATGGGTGGATGGATGTATTGTGATAAGAGCTGTATAAGCCCCCAATAAAATGTTTTTAAAAATTAAATTAAATAACATTAACAAAAAGAAAATTGAAAAAGTATAGAGTTAACGTTACAAAAGATTAGAACAAAGAAGTCGAGATTATGAGCCAGTAACGACAATAAAAAAAGGAAGCCCTGAAGGTAATCAAGCGGCCATCAAGCTCAGAAGCAACAAAGCCCACATGGAAGAAGCACACCAGCCTATGCAACCACGAGGTGTCGAAGGGATC